TCCCTCCAGAAAGAAAAGCTGACACTGTTGATTAAGACGTCCATTACACAGAGATGAAACCAGATCTTCCTCCTGTCTGCTCCTCCTCTCTGCTCCTCCTCTCTGCTCCTCCTCTCTGCTCCTCCTCTCTGCTCCTCCTCTCTGCTCCTCCTCTCTGCTCCTCCTCCATCACTCTCACTCTCCATCTTCAGTCCAAACCTACTCTGATCTGGTTCTCCTCCTCTTTTCTCCCTCTCTCTCAGGACTCCTCTTATCACTGGAGGTGCTGAAAGAAATGCTATAAACCTCCTCCTCCTCCTCCTCTTCTTCCTCCTCCTGTTCCCCCTCCTCCTCCTCTTGTCTCTCGTCCCCCTCCTCCTCCTCTCCTCCTGTTCCCCCTCCTCCTCCTCTTGTCTCTCGTCTGTCCAGTCCTTGATAAGGAGGACGGTCTTCATCCTCTTCATCCTCTTCATCCTCTTCATCCTCTTCATCCTGGTCGTCCTGGTCTCAGCTCATAAAGATAAGAGAGAGGAATGTGGAGCAGCTCAGAGAGGGGGCGCTGAGGAGCTCTGAAAGAAACAGAAACAACTCAGACCCCCCCCCCCCCTCCCTGTTTTAGGGTGCGGTCTGTGAGCTACAGTCTGTGTCTGTTCTTCTACATTTACTGCTGATTTGACTCAGGGTGGTGTGGGGGCGGGGCTTCGTCAGGCCCCTCCCACCTCCACAACTCTTGACTATCAGAGTCCTGAAATAGTCCTGTGGCTCAGTGGGTCGGTGAACATCAGAGGCCCCGAGCCTCAGACTGAGTCTGGGTCACGCTCTGACCTTTGACCTGTCCTGCCAGAAGATGATGAAGAAGATGATGATGATGAACATGATGAGATGATGATGAGATGATGATGATGATGATGATGGTGATGATGATGGACAGAAATGCATTGTGGGTGTTTTCTGTTTTTGGTTCTCGGGGTCAGGGATCTGATGTAGTGACAGAGCAGGGACCAGTTCTGGAGGAACCACCTGGTCCAGAGCAGGGATCCAGGCCATAAATCTGGCTCTGAGCTCCTCACCAACGCTGCGGTCACCGCCCCCCCCCCCTCCCCCCCCCCCCCGTGGAAAAGAGAGATGAGAGACTGGAGGTCAAATGAGGCTAAGCCCCTGGTGCCAGTGGACCTGCAGGTTC